GGGTATAGAGGAAAGGCACACACAACCAAAAGCTTCGCTGGAGATGATGAGGACATAAATATGGAGGCTTGGCACTGAGCAAGCTGAAACCAAAACTAATTTAGAAAAGTCCAGGGTGGGAAATTTCTGGTGGGAAAGAAGTGGAGATGGTAGTCTAAATACAGTCCAGTGGAGAAGGTATAGCTAGAGATGTCCTGGAAGTGCTGTGGAGATCTAGAACTGAGAAAGGTAGGGACAAAGGTGACTTATAAATGCATAGGGTGGTTCCTGGTTTCTAGGATCATCCTAAAAAGAATGAACTCCTTTTAGAAATAAAACATATGTCATCTCTCTACCTAATAAAATCTTCCACACAATAATTTGAGATTTAGTTTACTATCTAAAATTTCATTTTTAGTCAAGACATGTTTCATCTATCACCATTCCTTAACTCTTCTCTTCATGTGGAAAGTCTTGAAAGAAATACAATTCTTATTCTTTTCTAATTCAGAGACTAAATGTTGCACTTCTGAAGGTTCTTTTCCCTAAACAAATATCCTTTTTTATACAAAAAAATCAATAATATCCGATTACAAAAAAAATCAGTCTCTGCATTCAAGTCCATCTTCTAATGCATGGATATAGGGAGACGCAAAGTTTAATAAAATGAAATATTACTTCTCTTTTGATTTCCACTTAAAGATAATTGAATCAAAATTTTAAATACAACATAGAGATAGATTGATGGTGCAGTAGATAGATCACTGATCCTGGAGTCTGGAAGACTTGAGACCAAATATGATTTTCAGATATACTTACCCTGGCAAGTAACTTAACCTCTGTCTTTCTCAGTTTCCTCAACTGTGAAATAGAGATAATAATAGCACCTACCACCCAGGGTTGAGGGTCAGATGAGATATTTATAAAACACTTAGCCCAGTACCTGGAACATTGTAGGCACTTAATAAATGCTTGTTTGTTTTCATACATTTTAAAGGCATATATTGATAGGGAATTTCCTATGGATTTGACTGATTTAGGTTATGCTCATTATCTTTGTTTTCTTGGGATCAAAATATACTGTCACTATTATTTAAATTAACATGATTTTCTAGAATTTTTAGTTTATTTTCAAGACTTTATAGTGCTTTCCTTTTTCATGTTAGCATGTGTGAGACATAAGGAAATAATTGCTCACATTAATATATCATTTCAGATTTGTTTAACTAATGAATTTTTATAATAGTTTATTACCTCTCCATTCCACTGCCCCTCATCAAAGAATACTTTAAAAAAAATCCTCATAACAAGTGTGTGTCAACCAGCAAAACATATAACCACCTTTGCCACGTTCAGGAATGTAAGTCTCATTCAGTATTTTAAGTCCATGACTTTATGTGGCAGGTGGTATGTAACATGTTTCATTATTAGTCCTCTAAAGTCATGGTTTATCATTGCTTTGGTAGGCATTCTGAAATCTTTCAAAGTTGCCATTTTATAAATTGTTTACTACATTAAATAATAGAAATCTCAGTTTCTTCTAAAACTACTTCATTATTTCCTTTGGTGTTTGTTTTTAATCAGAACCATCGTCTATCAACGCAGATTGGTAGTTGCTCTGTAACTTGTAGTCCTAATGAGTTATATGGGGGCACTGAGAGAATGAATAAATAAGTGAATGAATGAATGAAAAAATGTTTATTAAGGACTTAAGCTCTGGGGATACACATAAAAAAGAAAGACAATTCCCACTCTTCTGAATCTTATATTCTATTAGGAGAGAAAGTACATATAAGAGATTTCAGCTATCAATCAGATAGAAAGGCTCCATGATCCTTACCATGCAGTAGCAAAAGAGAGGAAACACATTTTCTTTGATACTATTTCCACTGAACAAATCATCAATTTTTTATTTTGAACCATTGATAGTGCTGAGAATATTGGTAAAAAGAGCTTTCTTTTTCAAGTTTTCAATGTCTATGGAAATACCTTTTTCCAATACATTTTATATAAAATAATATATACTTATAGTTAATAAAAGTATACTAGCCAGAATCTTTAGGTTGATTCATTGGAACATGGTATGTTAGGTTTGAACATAAGGCTGAGATTATGAGTCTCCTACCCATTTATATCGATTAGCTTTTGTCAGAAAAAACAAACAAACAAACCAACCTTCTCCCTCTAGTTCCACACCACATTGCTATTACTAGATTTCCATCTCTCACAATGATATGCTTTTATTTGTCACAAGAACCAGACAAGATGGCTTGGATATATGAGCAAAGTCCATATGTTTTATTGGGAGTGGTGATCAAAGTCAGTATCTATACTATAGGTGAATTGACAGTGTAGTCTTTGGAAATTAAGGACACAATTTCTTTATGTTCTATTCAAAATTAGAACAGTTTACAAGCATAGATAAGTTCCTCACTTAGGACACAATTCCATTTAGCTAAATTCGCCTAATGCAGCTTTAAAATTGAGCCCAATACTTAAAATAAAACTCTAGCTATTCAAATTTTCCTATTGCCTAAAGAAAGGTGGTTATTAGATAATATTCTAATATTCCTCCTGTCCTTATGGTTCTACATATTCTTGGCCATTTAAAATATGAAATCACCTAAATATTTAAAAACATTATAAAAAAAATAAAAACATTATCAAATAAGCTTACATGACTTGTTGACTTACATGTAAAACAACCTTTTAATAACTGAAGAAAAGGTGTCAAAAGTGCCTTTTCTGTCATAAAAAAAGTAAGCAATTGTTTTCTTTGTTTTAAAAAGTTATTTTATCACTTGGAATTATGCTGAGCAGCTGCATTTCAAAATATAAGATCCTAACAATCGATATGGCCATACAGAGCTAGAAAAATTTAATCCACTGTAAAGTTTTATTTCTAGTAAACTAAAATGCCAAGCAATATCTGTTCTGAGTTTTAAGAATGAGGCAGTAAAGCTGATATGTAAAGACATTTTAAGATCCACTGGAATCCTAGTCTAAGTCACTATGCAGTAACAAACAACTATAATTAAAATGAATTGGATGGTGTAGAAGAGAAAGAGACCAAAGGAAACCAGTAGAATTAAGTTAGCAAATTCATTAGTTCAGAGAATTTACAAGGTCATAGAATTAATTTTATTGTATATTTTCAGAATCCATAACACTGGAGAATAGTGCCTCATTCATTCATTCAACAGATAATTATCAAGGACTTACTATGAACAAAAGCATTGTTTTTGTTGTTTGCAAATTCAGCTTTGTTGTTTCAAAGTGATCACTATGTAGATGCTTTTTAATTTATTTTCTGTCTCCTACCCCTCCCCTCTGATATCTGTTTTAATAAGGCAAATCCTACTCTGTAGAATAAAAGTGTAAGAATTGGTGAATATAAAGTGTGTGTTTTTAAAACATGATCATTCCTTTCTAATGTTTGTCAGAAACTCATTCTACTTAATTATCATGGCAGTCACACTGCAGGCAACACCAGAGTTTTTCCCAGTGATTAATGTAGCTCCGTGGAGTTTTTAGAAGGTTGTTTTCTTAATTTGACTGGCTGGGGAATATTTCCCTGTTGAAAAACAGGTGTAAACATCAATAATCAAGATGAGAGAGTGATACCATGTCAGCTTTTTAAAATATCTCCAGTGCAGAAAATCCAGTAGGTAGAGTCTGAAATGAAATGATGTTATTTGTCAGAAAGAAGCAAAGTAACAGTGAACTTTTGGTGTGACTCAGAGAGTTTAACTGAGTGGATGATGGGAAACCTTTTAATAGCAAAATAATCTGTCAACCAGCCTGAAAAAAAAGGGGGAGATTGTTTTGGCAAACATGTAAAATCAAAACTCTAACAGAGTGATTACTAGTAATTTATGAACTCTGTTTCTAAATTGCCTTACTTGGTAAATTACATGCCTATTTACTCTAAGACAGGATTTGAATTTACCTTAAGTAAAACTTAGGTCCTCCAGATTCTCTCATGGACTTCAGACTTTTAGTGATTTTCTTTGTTGCTCATTTTTGTAATAGGTTCTGAAACAAAAGCAGACCAATTTTATTGTTCTTGGTGTTATATCTGAGCTTGTTCTCCTTATTTATTCATTTATTATTTTATATAAATTCAAATCTAAAAAATATAATGAGTTTGGATTGTACTGTCACAGATATAGCTCTGTGGTTGGCAGCTCTCTCTTTTTTAAAAATCATTCAACACAATTGACTCATCAAAGCCTTGGGAAATAAATGCTACTGTTGAAGCACCTACCTCAATAGCTACCAAGGATTGTCATACCAAATATTTAACTACTTCAGAATTTTAATTTTAAAATTATATAAATTCATATATTTTAAAATGACTCTGCTGAAATACTAGTTCCATGGTTCTTTAGAGAAGATGTCAGCAGCTGATTGGGGTAAGAACTACAAGGAAAACAAGGAATCTCAACAGAAAGATGTAATTTAAAAATATGCTTGAGGAGGAAGAGATGCAAATGTATTGACTTCTTTTAAAGTTACTAAAGACTACTCTCATCCTATTTCCTTTCATTAAGTTTGCCTAAAAGAAAAGTTATTTAACATGCATTTCCATTGTTAACATTGTTTTCTTTGGTTTAATATGGTGGTGGTGTTTTTCTTTTATTTCCATATGTGTGTCTTTGTGTGTTTTTGTCTTCCCTCTGACACAGCATGTTTTTATTTTACTTCCCCTCCATGAGACGCTTTATATGGTCCACTGGGGAAAAAAAGGAATTCTTGTCATTTAAATTTCACTCTTTGTTTATAAGAAAAAAATTCTTTTCAATTCCAAACAATACTGAATTTTTTCTTCTTCTTGTTGGAGCATGAAAATGAGTGATATAATGCCAAGAATTGTGGTGAAATGTTTTACCTGAAATAGCCCATATTAATTTTAAACTTACATGTAATATATATGTACATATAATTTGAACCATGATTATGTTTCTCTTTTGTTTGCATGATATTATTTTGTTTTACGTTTTGTTTTTTCCACTCACCAGATGTTCCCAACACTTTGCTTTCCACCACTATCATCCCCTCCCTTACCACTGCAACAGTCACAACTTCTGTTCCCATATCAGCCACTACAACCACATCTGCAACAACCAGCAGCAGAAGAGGTACAGTATACTTCTTTGTTATGGCCTGGAAAACGTGCGAAAAATAGAAAAGTGTAGGGGTTCAAAAAGAGCAAACAGAAATGGAGAGGCAAAATTTTATAAAAAGAAAATAACTTTATGAAGTAATAACCAACCACATTATTATTTATTATAACATTGGAACTGAATCAAAGACAACACATGTTATTTTTCAACCACCATGTATGAACTTCAACCAGGTTTGAGTCAGAAAAAGTTGTATTTTATTCTAAAAACATGAGATGTTATTTTTACATAAAATGCATATTCATTTCAAACTTAAAATACATTAATGTGATATCATCTTTTACATAAGTGAAAAATCAGATTTTGAGTTGTACAGGAGGTTTTCTTTTGATGCTTTTATGAATATGTAATAAATTTTAATTCTCCTGAAACCAGATTCAAATTCCCACAGGGATAAATTTGTTCAGAAGTAAATGCAATCCCTGAGACATTGAGTGTAGCTCTTTTTTGTGAGTGCTCACAAGACTAGTTCTGAGTGACTCACTGGGTGCCTTTTATTTCTACTGATATAAAATATGATTGTCCTAGAGTATTTTGCATTGTTTGTCCCCATGAGTATTCCCTGCCACCAGTTTAATAAGAAGCATTATTATTGCCTTTCTCTGAAGGAAAGCTACCTCAGGAAGTATGGTTTAAGAATTTCACTGAACCTTAGGGATGTAATGGATCAATTATAATGTGAGTAAAGAAAATGAAGTATTCCTTGACATTCAGCCAGGTATCACTAGGTGGTGAAATGGCAAATAGCGTTTGTTTTTAAAAAAAATTATTTTGGGGGAATAGTTGCTTTTAAAATTAGTCTTCATATAAGTTACATTCAGAAACCTTTTCTCATTCTCATTTAAATGTTTCTGTCTCATCTGTCGGATTGACTCGCTAATATATTTTAAACTTATCATTTTTTACTTTGAAATTGTTGGATATGTATCTCAATCTATGTAAGTCTCTGGTTTCATTTAAAATTAAATTATTAGGGCAATGATACCCTAAAAACTATGCCTTTCTTTGCAGATTTTTACCCTTCCTTTTATAAAAGTTTGCCCTACTTGGATTATCCTTTCTTGTTATTAGACTCACTTTAATTGTTGAATTGTTAATTCCTGCCCCTTTTCAGGGTAATATTTAGATCAGAAGAGATAGATAGATAGATAGATAGATAGATAGATAGATAGATAGATAGATAGATAGATAGATTGATTGATGGATGGATAGATGAATGGATGGATAGATATATGCATATATAAATATATTAAAATATCAGATTGGTTACATGATACAGTAGATTTATATTAAGACTAATGTCTAGAATAATGACAGGATTATTTCAGAATGTCTAGAAAGTTATTTTTATATGGCGAAGTATGGTTTATCCAAACTAAAATGTCACATTAGACATCTTTCAAGATTTTTTAGCTGGAAGTTGAGAGGTAATGAAAGTAGAAAAAATAAATAGGTAAGCAAGAATTTCAAACACTTAACATGTTTCTTGTCTATTTGTTTTGTTGTTAATTGTTTATTTTATCCAAAGGATGCTGACTTTCAGTGGAATTCGGCTTATGCTATTTATTGTCAGCACTATCATAATTTTTTGTTTGTCTTTGTCTACACACAAAAATAGTTGGCAATTTTATTATTTAACTTGTGTGTTGTTTTGAGGGAAGAATAAATTGAGTTAAAACTTAACTATTTTAAAAACAAAACAACTATGCACCAAATACTGGAATTAGACCATTGGCATTTTCACACATCTAGTTTTGAGTTCATTTCTTTTTTCAAGCTAGTTTACCTATATAATCTTTAGGTAGTAAAGTTCTTTACTATGATAACCATATACACATCCATAAAAGAAACTTCTGAAGTCTTCTCAGAATACCTTGGTTTTCTTGCATGAATATTTGGAGCTCAAATGTTGCTATGTTTCTCATGATAAAATGAAATTAATGCTATCCCATAGTCCAGTAGCATTTCACATAGGTAATGCCTTGAAGCTATCTCTAAAAATATGAGACATTACTCAGTTTTTAAACGTTATTTCCTTAAGCATCAAGGATACTGATTAGAACATTACCATTTAAACTGTCTATGCCCTAATGAAATTCTAAAAAATGAGTAGTTGTGTTGCTTTTTTTTTTGCTAGTAGGATTGGCTCCTATATATATATATATATATTTTTTTTTTCCAAAATATTAAACACTTTGGGAATGAAATATGATTGTATAATTTCAAGGTGCAATTCTCCTGATCTATTTCAAAAGGAAAAAAAAAACGACACCAGAGATGCTTAATGTGTACATATCTACCGTCACCTGTCCTATTTTCAAGAAGTAGATAGATGGGGAATGTTACTAAACCCACCTGCATCATTAATGTCCTATTTAATATAATTGAGTCTGAGTCATCTTTCTACTCATACATTGTGACTTCTACACTGTATGCCTCAAGAGTTAAGTGGCATTTCTTTGCTTAGGCATTACCCATTAACTTGGAGCTTTTAAGTGCAATTTGATGTTTGAAAGGAAGGTATTGCTTTATAAATTAACCAAAGACATTTCAAAGTCACATAGAAGAAGGAAAAATTAGAATAGACAAAATTAAAGAAAAAGAATACCCTGCTAAGTTTCTAACATTAAAAAATCCCTTGTTCTTATAGAAATTATTAACAGCAATCTAAATAACTCGTATAGCACTTAAAGTAAATTTCTTCTAACTGCAGATACTGTTTTTATCCATGTATATTTAATAAATGAATGCAAATAAATCATTGTTAATGTTTCCATTTTTGCTCTTATGCTGTTAACATCACTGCTTGATTTCATCCTAGGTAAAAGTATCAAATACCAATTTAAAACAAATTTAACAGTTTACAGCTGTGGTTAAACTGGAAGTCAAAAGGGAATGAAACAAATTGACCTATATTCAAACATAACTAGTAATAACCATATGACAGCCTTAACATTTAAGTATCTTAAAACATCCAGAGTATGTAAAAATTAAGGTATTTTGAAGCTGGAGAGGAAAGAGGAAGAATAAAAATGAAGAAAGAAATAGGAAGAAAAGGAAGGGTAAGGTGAAAGGAAAAGTAATGAGGGAGATGAAAAAGAAGAATGAGAGAGAAAAAGAATGGCAATAAAGAAATAAATAATAGAATCTCAGAGTTAGAAGAAAAATTAGAGGTTTTCCAAATTATTATAAAGAAGGAAGAAAATGAGTATCATTTTTCTAAAAAAACGATAGCTGAAATAGAGAACATTCTTATATTCAAGATAGTAATGACAAATGAATGGACCAAGACTTTAATAATCCAATTTTATTTTTATTTTGTCATATAAAATTGTAGGTATCATCACTTGATTATGAAACTATTCAATACAGTTAAAAAGAAAATTATAGTATACTTATTTCACATGTTATCATTTAAATAAAAGCTTGTTATTCAAAGAGTCCTGCTCTTGGAGTAAGGTGGGTAAATCTTAAGTTTGAATGTCATCTCTGATGCTTACTAGCTCTGTGCTCTAAGATAATTCATTTACCTTCCCAGAGCTTCTGTGTCCTCATCTATAAAATGGTGATGATAATAATTTGTATAGTATATCAACTACCTTACAAAATGATAACTATTTTGCAAGCCTTAAAATTGAGTTAACAACCATTTCTACAAATATCAGCTATTATTGCTTTTGCTAATGCAACAATACAAGGCCTAAGGATAAAAAGGAGGGATAAAAAGGGGCTTCCCACATAAAATGAAGTAAAGTCACAAAGTATTAAAGGCAGAGTAGCTTAAGCAGAACATGACCATGACCTCCTACCTGAAATACGAATGAAGGGTCCCAGGAAATAATAATTGTAGGGATACGGTTTAACTTGAGAGATCTATGTGTTGAACTAGAAGTATTTGTGATTTAAAGTGGTTTAAAGACTACTGGCTAGAGAAAAAAAAAAAAAGACTACCAGCTTCTTTCCCATCCTCTCCCTGAATAAGGTTGATTCTTTCTTTGGTTGTTTATACTAATCTAGAGGATATAATTGTTTAGGTTTATAATGGATGATTAGTATAAGTATTATTTAAAATGGATAATTAGTAGAATCACTCTGCCTTGACAAAGAGCATGCCTGGAATTGGGGTGGGGAGTCCCTTCCAGTGATGGATGTGCTATCCTTGCAACTGGGCCCTTTCCAATGACATCTTCACTCTGACTCTTTTCTGATTGTATAATATAAGATAAGATATGAGCAGCCAGAAGTTTCTAGTTTTATATATATATATATGTATATGTATGTATGTATATATATATATATATATATGCAGCCTTATTGCCTTAGGTGTAGGGTTTCATTAAAGTTGCGTCAGATTCACAGATGTGCATTTAAAAAGTCATAAATGTAAAGCAGTAACATAATTAGTATTACACTTACTTGATTTGTATTATACATTGAGTACCTTTTTGTTGTTAATCTGTTCAGTCATGTCCAACTCTTTGTGACCCCATGGACCACAGCACTTGAGGCCCTTTTATCCTCCACTGCCTCCCAAAGTTTGTCCAAGCTCATATTCATTGCTTACATGACTCTATCTATCCATCTCATCCTCTGCTATTACTTTCTCCTTTTGCCTTCAACCTTTCCCAACATTAGACTTTTTTCCAATGAGTCCTGTCTTAGATATGTGGCTGCTGTATTTAAGCCTCAGCTTCTGAATTTGTCCTTCCAGTGAATGGTCTGAATGAATTTAATTGTTGACTGATTTCATCTCCTTGCTGTCCAAGAGACTCTCAAAAGTCTTTTCCAGCACACAATGTGTAGATTCTGTGATGTTCAGTTTTCCTAATAGTCCCTCTCTCACAGCCATATGTTACTACTGAAAAAAACCATAGCTTTGACTATGTAGACCTTTGTCAGCAAGGTGATGTTTCTGCTTTTCAGTATGCACTCCAGATTTGCCATAGCTTTCCTTC